TCCCCCCCCCCCCCCCCCCCCAAGCAGTGGGCATGCCACTTATCTCCTGGAATCTGATGGTTTATGGAATGATTTGGACTGAGGCTAAAAAACACACCTGGCATGTACGTGTCCTAACTAACTACATAGTATATTCACATCAATCCCTGCCCTGAATGAGCTTACAAACTAAGTATTTCTATTACAGTCATATAGGCAAGCACTAGATGCAAGTTTGGGAACAGTCATGATCATGGGCTCTGGGGTCATTAAAGATGGGAAAGAATCTGATGTCCATCAGCACTGGGCTGGTGTTTTGAGAAAGGGGCACCAATTTTGGGCCTCCACAGTTAATGTACATGGCCAATGGTGAAGAACAAGCTTAGTGCTATTGCTACAGCAGGTGATTCGTCCATCTGGAGGTAGGGGTATCATTTGTTACAAAAACATCTGTTCTGAGACAGTGATTTAGTAAGCTATAAAGCCACATAATTATCATGATAGCCAGGGAAATAAGATTTCTGACACATCATAACTTATTTTCTTGGAGTCTGGTGAGGGACACAGGAAGTCTTAAACCTACAGGTTATACTGCTACCTACAGAAGGATTAGACACTGGAAATTAAAAAAAAAAAAAAATGTAGATAATTCCAAGGTATAATCCTTCCCACTTCAGAGGATAAAAGGATTCAAAATCAGAGATTTTGTCACATTCGGGGTACACTGCGGGCAGTAGACTGTATATTTACTGCAAATTTAGCTTAAACCTAAAATCAGGGCAGATTTTAAAATGTAATTTTTTCCAGTTATGTATTACTCATAAAAAAGATAATTGCATGTATTTTACAGAGAACTAGCATACGTACCTTAATATGTATTGATATCAGCTTGCTGTACTCCTTTGTGAGGAGGAGTTTTTGATTAGGAGTGAGAGGGGCTACAATGAGTCATTTATGCTTCAGTGCTTAGCACAGTGCTGACAAGGAACATACTTGGACAAGGAGGGGTGAGAATAGGGGAAACGTCGTCATTCAAGCTGGCCATACACTGTGAATTTCAGCCAGCTCTTGGAGAACCAGCTGAAATTCACAAAGTGGGTACCACTGTCAGCACACTTAAAGGAGAACTATGAGGTGAGTGATTTTCACTCAACCTCATAGTTCGAGCCGACCTGTGACAATGAAACTGTCGCATGTCGGCTCAATAGATCGGGAAGTGAGCGAACACATACAGTCGCTCGCTCACTTCTCGATCCTGTCCCTGCAGAGAGCCGTGACTGTCACTCACGGCTCCCTGCAGGGATTCCCCCCTCCCCTGCCCGATCCTCCAGCGCTGACTGGAGGAACTAACGGGGGAGGGGGCTAGTACAGCTGGCTCTGCCTCTCGATAGGCAGAGCCAGCTGCCAATCATGCTCAATGACAGCTGGGTGGATCTCGATAGCAATGTCGGGATCTGTCCCAGTTGCGGCGGTCTCAGTATACCGCGAGTTGTAGCTCGCGGTATACTGAGCTTTGGGTCACGGGAGGACACTAGTGACCCTGAAGAGAACTGAAGGGAAAAGCACTGACCCCATTGTTCTCCTTTAAGGTCGGCATTCTTCAATCAGCTTATTGAAGGAGCTGCACGGAATATCTCCGTATGAACAGAGCGGGCAACCAATGAGCTGCCGGCTCTATTCGGGTATTCTGACAGTGACCACGTGGCCATGAGGAAACAGTGGGGATTCCTTGATCAACACACTAATAGTGTTGATGGAGGAATCTGCTCGTTCAGCCCCTGAGATTTGAAAGAGAAAAATAGAGCAGTGTATGGCCAGCCTTAGCCATTGTTCCTCCATTCCTCCATTATCTAGTCATAAGTTGGGTTGGGTCCGGGACCTGGTTGTGTTAATAAACTTTGTGTAGCCTGCAGAAAAGTTCTAGACCTGGCTCTGCAATCTGGCAGGAGCGCCTAGATAACTGGACTGGCTGATCTGAATAAAAAAACATGGTGAAATATTTCCCATCAATGTATTTTAATTGCACATTTAACTGTACAGCTTTAAAATGTAATAGAGTAAAATAATCAACAGATGCTAATTCAAATAACACCAAATAAATGTTTCTATGAACAGTCTGGAATAACAGACTTATACATGCGAAAAGCTATATTTGCTCATTACATATACTCGTGCTTACTTCTTAGTAGCACAGAAAAGTGATTACTCTTCCATAGACTTTCATTAAATTAGATCTAAGCCTAATCCCTAAAATCTCATATAAGCTTTAACATGTTAATGTAATTTCAAAAGTGTTTAATCTTTTTAAATCTGCAGCTTTCATTAAAAGAATACTCGGTGATTCTTCCACAAAGGTTGTTGCTCAGATACTTCCTGTTATGGGGTGACAACTGTCTCTTAGTTGTACTCCTACATTGTCACCCTGTCACACAAGCTCCGATCAAGACTATACAAACGTCTGTGTCGACGCAGGCATGGTCACCATTGTCACTATCAGTAAATCATTCCAGAGCAATGATGTTCAGCCGATGGTCGGTGAGTGTATGTAGACAGGAAGAGGCTGAAAGAGGCTAGAGGAGATCCACAGCATTGAGATGCAAAAAAAGATGAAAACGGGATGTAATGAAAACAAAAGGCAACTGTTTATAATACTCAGTGCATTAGGAAACAATTGTCATCCATTTAGGGTTTAGATCTACAGTACTTTAAATAATGTCTACTCTGTAGGTGGCCTTATCTGTACTATTGACATTGACATCCACTAGAGGGAGCAGTTACAACATTGTACATGCAATATGTTCATACAAATAAGTTTAAAGAGGAACGCCAGGCAATCGAAACATGATCCCTGGCAGTGGTGTCAACCCTACACTGCAGGGGTTAACTGCTCATTTTGGTCTAGGGGCTAAAATATGAGAAATAAATGAGTATAAAGATATACTCACCTGATCCTCAGTCCTGCAGCGGTGACTGCTCTCCTTTTTCCCCCTCCGTTCTGGTGGTAGAATTTCCCTCGGCGTCCTCACATCTAACACAGCAGCATTTGATGTTATGACATCACGGATATTTAGACCGCCGGACCCAGGTGGGACTGAGGATCACGTGAGTATATTTTACTTATTTTAGCCACCTAGACCAAAATGAGTAGTTTGGCTTCAAAAGTCTAAGAACCCGTGACATCATCATGTCTAATACAACTGCATTAGATGTGAGGACGCCGAGGGACATTTCACCACCGGAGTGAAGGGGGAGAGAGATGAGCGGTCACGGCTGTATGACCAAGGATCGGATGAGCATATCTTCTTTATTTTAGCCTCCTAGACCAAAAGGAGCAGTTAACCCTCGCAGTGCAGGGGCGGCCCAACTGCAAGGGTTCATCTTTTGATTGCCTGGAGTTCTTTAACAGTTGAAAAGTGCAAAACCCTATTAAAAGGTTCTGTCAAGCAAGCTCCAAGAACTAAAAATGCCTAGGAATTTCTCTTTAAGGACATGCTCCGCTTTCATAAAAGGGTGTCTTGTGTAGAATATGTGTCCTTTTTATAGCTGCTCTCAGGTTAATGTGTAATTAATTACATGTTCATTCACTCATTGTGTAAAAATTTTTTTTTTAGCTTCACACTACTTCTCTCAGGTATTTAGCTGTATATGACCTTCTCTCCATCAGACTCCGTGCTTCTAATTCCGAAAGTCACCTTCTTTCCACACAGAGTGAAAACTGCTGACAAAGCGGTCTATTATTGACACGCAGGTGCATTAGGTTAATTTCATTGTCCAATTTTCCCCTTCTCATTAGGTTTGGTTCAATACTCTGTAAATAGAGCTACGATCCAGTTATGCAGAAGAGGTTTCTGTTACTTAAATTAACTGCCCAAAAGCTTTTTATTTCAGTGTTATGTGTGCGACTGG